ATGTAATGGGATAAAAACTTTAAAGTGCTTATCTTTCATCTACGATTCTGCGTTCAATCTCGAAAAACGTAGATACCGATATTTTGTTGAATAAAGAATTACATTATTTAAAACATAATGTTCCCTTGAAAGAAGGAACAATTTAATTGAAAATATTACCTTGGAAACTAAAATCTTGAAGAATATCATCTTGATATAGAAACAGTTTTTTTTGTAGTTATATCATACGTTGAATTGTCATATCAGTATAGTTCTCTTTCTCTGGAGATTAAGTATAAACTTTGACATTCATAACGATGTTTTTAAAGCCGGTGCTAGGGAGCGTGGGCAGTAGCTTGTATTTACCATTACCGAATAGGATCAGTCAAACCGAACCTGCAACTTTTTTCAATTTTTCCGTTTTGGGCAAACTTTAGCGATTCCGTTGTCTTTGTTTGTAATTTGAAATGTTTGGTATAAAATTCTTCAAAACGCAATAAAAAAATCCTATTGAATTTTAGATATGAATACCTTGTACTATCTTCATGTATCCTATTCTATTTCATGTTGAGATATCATAGACAGCAATATATAAATTATCAAGATATAGAACTATACCTTTCTAATGTTCATTTCTAGAATAAGTTGTCTTGGGTAGATATGCAAGATAGATTATTGTTGATAACAAGTAAAGTTTCTCATATTTTCATGGTTGCAAACTTAATTTTTAAACCCTCCTATAATGTTATGCAAGCTGGGATAGAATTATTGATAACAATTATATAGTCTTTGTTTCCCTTGTTTATATAGTCATGAAAAGTTGTTGCTGTAAAAGTAAATACAATGTACATGTATATATTATTGTGCTGAAAAGTATACAGGCATATTTTTGTAGCTTTACATTGTTTGAGAAATTGTAGATAAAAATAACCTGTATATTAATAAAATTTACCGTTGTAAATATTATTAATTACATTTGAAGATTTTAATACTCTTGTCAGTTTTAAAGGAAAACTTTGTAAAAAATTACACCGTTATCTATTGCTAGCTAATCATAAACAGTAATACTTAATGATGTTTTTCACTGCCTTTTATTTTTTCAACGACATTTCACGCACATCTTATTTTGCAAAGCTGGTGTCAATGTCATTATTGGCTGTGAGGAGGATTGCCTTAAAATTTAAGATAAAACTGTACATTGCTCATGTTTTATTCTCGAAATCGTTGCCTACAGGTAATTTATAGAACTCTAACTAATTCAATACTCCTGAGTCGTTAGCATATCAAACTTACTTCGTCGAATTAAAAAAAATACCAAAGACCATAACGCTTCGATTTGAAATAGTACATTACATTAATATGTAAAGAATAGTCAACAATTGCTATCAATCTTTGTTACTGTAACGATATACATGAAAATTTCACAAGTTAATCCACGATCAAGATTCCCCATTTCAAAATAACAATGTTTAGTCCATCAAGCCAACTAGAAGTTGCTTTGTATTACTTGACAAACCCGCATAAAAATATAATATGTCTAAATTAAACCAATTGTATAAGCTAAATATGAACATCAAAAATACTTAAATATTATAAATCGATTAATGATAACAAAAATAAAATCAGTAGCTTTGTTTATTTGTACAGATCGCAGCATCTGAAGGTTTTTTCACCCATGACCGCAGTTATAGGGACATTATCGAATAGCTTGGTAATGCGCAAACTGTCTAGAAACGAATGGGATTGCGATGTTGTCAAAACAAACAATACCAATGACATCAACAAAGCCTACAACAAGACAACAGCATTCAATATTAAAGTTAAAAGTGCAGATAACCAGACATTTCAACCTTTTGTTGTATCGGAAATCGATTGATTTGGTTGCAGAATTCTGCAATCATTGCATTAATATTCACTATCTTACCTTCTTTATCTTGTGATTGTTTTCATTAATTGTTTACAATGTCAAGATAACTTGTACAAAAACAGACAGATAACAGGAAGAGACGTTGAATGTTTAGTGCAGCATAAAAAGATAATAAAAAACATCAGCAACAAGGCAGTTTTAATTCAATATCATTGCTTTCATACGCCCCTTGTCCCATTAGAATTAATTAATGAGATAAAATTTTCTAATCAAAGACAGGTATAATTAGATACTATTATCTTCTATTTTAACAATGCATTCATTGCAAACTTTTCCTGATCTCCAAAATGTAAGAAAAATTCAGAAAAATGAACTGATGCAACATTTTATCTTGCTTTGAGCATACCTGGATAAAACAAACGTACATTTGTTTATTTGAAAGGTAAAGTTTACTGAAATATGTTTTAGAGAACCTCTATTCTTACTTTTTATAACCTTTCATACAACTGAGTCTCTCTAAATTCAACAATATTAAGATAATTACCAAATCTTTTTGCTACAATTAAGTCATGATTTAATATTTATTCTTTATTCCATTCCTGTGTGTTACTTCTAAATGCTAGAATTGGTTATACAGAAACAATACTAGTACGCAGAGTGCTTTTTTTGACAAAGTTATCACTGAAGTTCAAAACAATTTGGCATTTTTAAAGTTATTTTTATAGCATTTACCTTTTTAAACTTGAGGCTGTATTACAAGATTTCCCCTAAATATAAAATTGACTATTGATGTGTTTTCCTGATGATATCTTCATATTCCCTAGTGTATACTCTATAGAGATATCATTGGAACAGAAATATAAAATGATAAAGACGTAGCGGAGTACCTTTCTCATGTTTTATTCTAGAATAAATCGTCTGGGCTAGATACGTCAGACAGATTATTGTTGATAATTATCAAATTCCCTCATATTTTACACGATTACAAACATATTTCTACTTCACGAAATACTTACGTACAGCATTGATAGTTCTGAACAGAAATAAGTTCCTCATGGTTGTTTCTTTTGTACCGATAGGCTGTCATAAAAGAAAGTTTGTTTATATATTGAAATAAGGTTATACCGACATAAAAACAAAACTCAACTTAAAAACCTTATGATTCAAGATATATATTAAAATATGATGAAAAGATAATTTAAAGAAATATTCATATTTTATTCTAACAAACAAATACTAAAACAATTGCAATATTTATTATCATGTGATACATGTATATCATTGACAGAGATAGAAATATGGAAATTTAAGATAAAAGCATAACCACTGCTCATGTTTTATTCTAAAACGAATTTGCTATGGGCAAGTTTGTAGCATCAATCATTGTTTATTCCCATATTAGTCTGTAGAGTCTTCGGCATGTTGTCGTAACTTTTTATCGTAATTAAAACATGTACAAACACACCAAAAAAAAAGGATTAGTTTCAACATATTCTATTTAACAGAAAATGGAATTAAAAATTATAAAAATACCTTTAATTTTGTATTAATAGTCTTCTTAAAGCCACTTATAAAAAAAAGTCAATAATTCGATGGTTAAAAGATTATATTTCTTAAGACACTAATTGTGTGCCAAAACAATCACAATCAAGTATCTTTTTCATTTCTGTAATACGATATAAAGATGTTTAGATTAACTTTATATTCACGCCTACTAAGTCCATGAATTACTGGGATAGGCAAAATAAACATAAACAAAATATCCTACTACAAAACAACAACAAAATTATTTTGCAAGTTAAAGTGCAATTACCGAGACATATCGATTGGTTTGGTTGCAGAACGCTGCAGAACGCTGCAGTCATTGTAATATTCATTGCATCAACTCATGATAATGTTATTATTTACCATATTGTTTACCAGTAAATGCATCAACAGTGAATTAGTTGACATAGGCAACAGGTAGACAACACATTTTAATAATAAATGTACGAAAATGAAAAATTCACATTAAAAGCGATGATGTTGATTCAGTATCACTATTGGATGTAAAAAAACCAAGGCAAACAATCAAGCATACAAAATAACCAAATAACCAAGGAGAAAAAAAACACACAAAAATATCATAATAAAACTCATTTCGTTATACTTAAAATTTAATGAACACAATATATAATGAAATATGTTTGTAAAATTTGAAAATTCAATGTAAAATAACTTTTCATAACAAGTATATAGTTATTTAAAAAAGACATTCACAAACGTGTCGTCATATGACATTATCTTTCAATGTTTAATAACAAAATTATTAATAATAAAACTTGCTTTTAATGTGTTTCCCTGATGATGTTTTCATACTATTCCGTAGATAGAATTAGAACTGAAAGGTGTCGATAGATCCAAACACCTTGCTCATGTTTTAGTCATCATATTGTCAACCTGTTTTCTCCTCCACCTCCTTTATAATGATGATGACGATAATGATTATCGTAATAGTGATAATATAATATAGTAATTATAATGAAAAATAATACATGATTTTCATGATTTGGTATCTTTCAATTATTTGACCAATCTATTCAATATTCAGAAGAAATTGGGAAATATGGAAAATTAAAATAACCCTATAATGGTTGATTTGATTACATAATGAATTCTGCGTCAAATTGCCCACAGGCAAAATCTCTCTAGAATAAAACATGAGCAACTGTTATTGTTTCATCTTATTTTTTTTTTTAATTAAAATATTGTTTTACGTAACTAAGTCTTCAAGAAAACAATGCCACAAAAAGACCTTGCAACGTTGTCAAAATAAACAACAATAAAATCAATGGGAGCAACAACAAAACAACAGCAGATAATATGAAGGTTAAACTGCATTTTAATCAGAATACCATCAATTTATATATTGGACATTGATTGATTTTGTTGTGGAAATCATCAATCAGAACAATAAATATTGTAACTGTTTCGAGTGATTGTGCACAATGTCACGATGACATTTAGAATAAGGTAATTAAAAACCTGATATAAATACAACTTTATATTGTAAAAAAAATATAGATACAACTTTATATCAGAAAATAAATGAAAAGTCACATAATAAGATTTAATTCAATCAATCTAATGAAATGTTTTATTTCCGGATGCTAAATATATGACAATTTATTTATAAATATGAATATTTTATACCTTCATTTGTCATGTATTCAACTGTTATTTTCAATAATGTATATATTTTAAATATTATATGACTTTGACACAATAATGTTTAATCATGTTATAGATAAGGCACGAAATGTTCAAGTTTGATAATAAATGCATGTTCTGTTGTTCTGTTCTTTAATTTTCTCAATTATTTTAATCAGGTAGCAAAATACCATTTAATAAAATGATGTTATCAAAATCTGGAAAAATGAGTGATTCCTTTAAAGCAGTTTAATCACAATATTATATGAATATTGCAGACTCGGTTTGATTGAATCTGTTCATGAGATATAATGTAAGTGTGTATCATCTTTTACGACCCGCTAGCACCACCAAGCGGTATTCAGCCTTCAATACTAACGTGCTGGAAGCTATGATTCGGAAGGATCTGAAAAATATAAAAACACTATAAGCCAACAAAATTACCAATCATTATATACGTCTTTTTCCTGAACAAGAACTATGAAGAAAACGAATAAGACACACTTTTGGCTTTGCACTCTTTGCCAAACCATTGAAGAATTTGTAAAATGCATTAATGCTGGGTATATTATGATAATATTTTGATATCTATATCAAACAGATATAAGTAGAAACTTGCAGCAAAGTCATTAAATTTTATGTCTTAACATAAATTGCAGTTAAAAAATAATGCATTTTAATTATTCAACAGAAAATGAGTATCAATGTATATCTTTAAATTTAGTGCTGGAATGGAGATAATGATTACTAAAAGCTAAAAGCTTTAGGCTTTTATAACATTATCTCTTCACTGAGCTCATCTATTCTTAATATATTTGAAGTATAATGGTTGAAAAGCACTGAAAATGAAATTTGTTAAATTATTTTCCTGATAAAGCCAATGTGTTATTTAAGATGCTGTTGCGGTTAGATACTATTTGCACTTTAAGAAAAAAATACTGTACTTATTGATATATGGTGTATTCTTATCACTATTTTTTATTTTTTTAAATATAATAGAAATTCTTGTGAACATTGTTGTGGTGATGTATAAAAAATAGATTTTATATTAAAGAGAAAGAAAGCATGTAAATAATGTAACTTCGATATAATTTTATAGTTTGAACCATCACTATTTCAAATATAAAAAAGTGTAGTATACATTTGTATTTACTTATTTTCCAAATGATTTTTTATTCTTAAGAAACATTATAGTATCTAGTAATAGTTTTAAGTTTACATAGTATTGATTCTTAAAGTTGCATATACTGTTTCAAAACGTTATTAGTCTGTTGAAGAAAATGTATTTTGATTAACACTGTAAAGCATATTTAAAAGGTTTGTATTTTTGTTTTCATCATTTTCAAAATATTATATTTTAGTATTTTAACTTATTTATACGAGCTTTATGTGATTTAGTCATAAAATAATGCATACTACTACATAGCTTTATTAAATAGGGTATTACTGTAAGGCGGTGTCCCACTGTATATATAAAAAGCATGTTGTTCTCTTTGTCTTCTCACAGACACTTGATGTACTCTTTAACTGTGTAGGATCTTGCTTTTCGTCGAGTTCTCTTCTTTAAATGGCAATTTTGTAGCTTACACTTATCTCTTAGCTCACTCAGTCGCTTAGCAGTGTGACACTCATACAGAATTCCTTTTGAATATTGCACATTAGTAGGCATTGTCGAAAAATACAATTTTCATCATTCAGAAATCAGCATTTTGTCTAAATATAATGTTTTACATATGAGATACAAACAACTCGTTTTTTTTACTACATTTATTCAATATTCTTGCCCCAAACTACTAAAGCTAACCTATTGATGTGCTAATCTGATATTATCATAGTATTCCCTAGCCTATGCTCTCTGTTGAAACATCCTAGAAAACTGAAATATGAATATTCAAGGTATCACCATATATCTTTCTCATGTTTTATTCTAGAATAAATTGTCTAGGGCAGATATGTCAGATGGTGTAATGCTGATAAGAATCTAATTCCCTCATATTTTATCCGAATACCAACGTTATTTTGCGTTAGAAAGGTCGTTAATACACCAGTAATAGTTTTGAACAGAAATTATTTATCTTATTTATCGTTTCCTTATCACTTAATTAACAGTCCTGTCAAGATGTTTTTTCTTTTAAAAATAGAATTTTATCTGATACGCATGATCATGTGATCATTGATTGTTGCTTAAATATGATAAAAACATTATATTTTTTGAAGAAAATATCCAGATTGAATGTATTGCATTTGGCTGGACGCAATTTTAGGTTGCTCCATAAACTTGATTTTTGTATTCTAATTTTTAACTTATAAATTTAGCATTCATTAAAATGTACATGTACAAATTTGTTCCCAACTAAATTTGTTATCTTTTTAATACGTTTCAATTTTGTTATGAAATACATCAGTCTACTGGTATCATTTGTTACAATACATTTTGTATTTCAGAACGTTTTGCACTTTTAAATAATTCTTTTCGTATTTTCATTATCATTATCCTTCGTTTATACAATAATTAGTTACAAATGTAGCTATTTTATTATTGTGTATCACATTATAAAACTTAAACAAGTTAGGCCGAAAATGGAAAAGTTATCAATCAAATCCGCCTCCAAAATAGATAGAAAATGGATAAATACCGGTAATATATTACTAACGTAATCTTGTTTCGACAGTGTAGACTCATATATGTTCAAACGTAAGCCGGCAGTTGGACACTGAAACTTAATAGATTAAGTTTCAGACATAATTATGCATACAAGCATACAACTTGTGAGTCAAACACAAACTCCAACGTCTTCATATTCAAATGATTGGTTATAAATTGTTAAATAGAAAAAATGGAAACCCTAAAAATAGTCCAAAAACGACAAAGTTGAAAATGTAAAAAGAGCAAGAGAACTGTATCAACACTTAATCAACAATAGCTGCTCATAGAACTATACCAATAGTTGAGCATATAGTTGTTGCCAGAAATATAAATAAGAACATTTGGTTATTTGAGAAAGATTTTCGTTGATGAGATGGAATAGTACCTAATGGGAAATGGGCGGAGTAAGTCATCAGGATTCTGTCATTAACCTTTGTCTTACATTGTCAAAATTTCCGGAAACATATGTAGATCTATCAATATTTGTCAAGGCAGTTACAAGCATATAGGTCAACATGTAATGTTATGTCGTAGAAACGCCCCAATTACATTCATAAATTATAAATTACTGTTGCTTTTTCGCTTTGTTGGCATCAGAGCCAACTGAGTTTGTCTAGAATATAATATCTGCATTGTTTGGTTTGACTGTTTTATGTTTGAAAATGACATGAAATGATATACTATACTGTTTATATGTTAAGTATATCAAATCATTCTTGACAAATAATTCTGAAGATTACAGATAGATATATGAATGTTACAACAGAATCACCACTTGCAATGTCGTTTCTTTGAATAAATAATACCACAACAATCGTTATATGAGAAATGATAGTTATTAAATTTTCCTTTTTCTTAACCCTTACCTTGCTGAAGGCTAGTATTCTGCACATGTCGGGACCCTGCGCAGATCAAGGTCAGTCCGAAACTTTCGGCAGTGCCGTCTCGTCAAGGTCTGCACTGTTCGCTACTGGTCAGTCAGGTATATTCCGGAATTTCCCTAAAATGATAAATGATTTTGATGAGACAGAGATATGGATAACTACATTTGAAGTATTTCGCATAGTAAAGGTTAAAATGAATCTATAAAGTCAAACAATTAATAGGACACACTAAATATATTTATATTTGTTATCATGGTATTCAGATATTCTACTGCTATTGTAGATCTTTTACTCGTACGGTGTATGTATTTTTCACGTGACTTTAGTATAACACATGTGATGATGATTTGTTGTTTGTAAAATTACAACGTACGCAAGCACCATCAGCTCAATAGCTATAATAATTTGCTCCACCTTGAACATTTAGTACAATTTAACACACAGGTGTAAAAAAGCAACTAAACTGCCAGCGTGTATGTTGATTTTGTCATTTACAGCAAATCTGATATAATTTATTGTTATGGACTTCTGACATTAGCTTTTTCAGTATTTTCCGTTGCGGAACAAAAAAAAAATGCCCGACTGTTTTAAAACATTGAATTACATTTTAACCTATCACGCTTCATTAAAATTATGCTTTTCAAATTAACATTTCTAACATTTGCAATTAAGATTTTTATCATTCTGTGTTTAAAGTAATAATGCGAATTTTATGCGAGTATTAATTCTAATTAAAGCAATTAAATGATTTGTGAAAGCAAAATGTTATTGATCCTATAAAAGTCCATTTGTTTAAAAATCATTTAATATAGATTGATAGCTTTCCTTGTCAATAACTAAAGAATAAGAATTAATTGAATTATTGCGCTAAAGAATAAAAAGTTTAATGGAATGATTATGGTAGAAATAAGATGTTTTATGAAATTATTGAACTAAAAGTAATGAGTTAAATAGAATGACTGTGCTTCAAATAATGCAATGAAGGCCTCTTAAAATAGGCATAAACGAAATCCTTGATTAACGTTAAAAAGCCGATTTAACGCATGTGCAATTTGAATATTCAGAATATGTTCTCCTTATGATGAATAATTTCTTATATAATTATGCCATTTTTATATTGAATTGCATATAAGAAGCATATTTATTCATGTTTAATGAAACAAAATATTATATAACAAAACAATTAAACCACATATTTCTATAGGCCGGGTTTCTCTTAGACGACCTGTTTTCTGTTAGCATTTTATACTTATTAATATTTTATTGTCTTTCTTTAACTAAATGATTTGAAATAAAATTAAAAAATTATACGGTAATTTACATATCTAAATAATTAAGATAATCTAAATACTGTCCGAACAAAAATATATACTCGAATTTATATTAATTTGGCTGAGATACAACGGAGTAAAACAATGTCACGTTTGACATAAAAAAAATCAATAATGGTATGGCTAATAAAAACAATTGAAATTTTTACATTATCACATTTTATAAGAAAGAGTTATCTTTATTAATTCAATTTCAAGAGTTTTTTTCTCATTTAATCCAAATTTTAAAACTAGCAATAATGTTATATGTATTTCTTATCATTAAGCAGCTGTGAAAGTTTCGGTGCAAATTGCTGAAAGACAAGCAGGTGTACAATAAAAAATAAACGTTTAAGCGTAATTAGATAATTGGCTTAGATGGACGTACCGATATATGTACACGTTTTCTTGTTCTTCTTCTTGTATATTCATTTTGATTACCTATATAAAAGAACACAATGTCAGGCCCCTTTAAGTTTTATGAGCAGTTTGATTATTTTTTCTTATTTATAAATGATAGAACAAGAGATTATCCCTCGAGCAACAATTTCAACATTTTTACAATCCAGTCTGATATTAGTCTAGGAAATAAAGATACAAGTAGTTTGTCGTTTATATTGTTTTCTTTTAAATTTTCTTGTAAATTCTTTAAATATACATTTTATGCTTCATACTTATATTAGGTGCTACCTATATTCAAGGGAGTGAAAAAAATCGTTTTGTTGAAATCAGATATCACTAAGTACATCAAAGATGTAGCTGCAATGTGTACTATTTTGTGCATTGAATCAAATCCTATTTTGAATACTATTAAATAAATTAATTAATTTAGAATATATTTGAAAAGTGTCACATTTTGCTATTTTTTAATTTAATATAAACGTCATTTTAGCTCCCCAATTTGAACTTTAGATTTTTGTGCAATAGACTCTATATAAATATAGAGGATATATTGAAACAAATGTAATTCAACGAATAATTGAGAACCTACAACCCATCATGTTCATAGCTTAATTTCTCTAATCAAAGAAATTTCCGGGAATCTTGTAGTGTTTATATCCCTTCTGGATTATATGTTTTACTATATATCGTGTTTGGTGCCAACATTCAACTACGCTGGCCCACTTGGCTCTGTACCGAAAACATGCTACAATTAAGAGATGTCACTTGCACTGCTGCCAATTTTCGTAATATGCTAATTGACCTTATTTTCTCTGTGTTTTACAGATGCGATGACATCAAAGACTGTTGAAATTCTCGACATATTCCTTGAAATAATGCGAAAGACAGTTGTAATTTCATGATCCTGAAGATTTATTTTCACCTTGCTATTTTTTCCACGATAACTACGCAGGTTTCTCGGCAAAATGCCTTTTTCTTTTCTTACACTGCTTGTTTTTTACTCTTCCTGCGTAATGCATTTCATGCCTACCTATATATCATACCAAATTTACTATACAAAATTCATTTGATGAATTTTCTATTAAGAATTAAAACTTTATTTTGGCATATCACATTGGGATACGTTTTTGTTTCTCGTGATATAAACATAAACAGAAGACTTCATTTGCTACAAAGGTATTGAAAAGTACGTTTGAAGACATATAAATTCATTGTGATTCAAATCGTGACTTAAGTGGCAAAATTATGAAAAAAATAAAACATTTCAAAAACAGCCTTAATGTATCTTAATCACGCCAAAATTTTTCAAACAAGAAACCTTTACATTTATTCTTTGAAAGAAATGTACAGTATATCTGGCCAAAGTTGTACTATTGTGGACCAGTCTGGAGTTAAACATAAATAAACGATTATGCTAACTCAAAACAAATGAAAATATGAAATTACTTGTACATGAAAACTAATAATGAATCATCATGAGAATAGTTAAACTTGTTAAATAGCAGACAGATAAACAGAGAATTCTCCAAATTGCATTTAAACTTATTGCTTGTCACATTAAATTGCTAACTGAATTTTACAGACATTACTCAAAGCGACTGTAATAAATCAATAAGCATTATTTGTAGACTAAGTGTATGAATATGCACATTAGCTGTTATTGTATATTTAATAAAATGTATATATCTTCATATCCCCTTAAACACTATTCGTCTTTAGTAATACGACGTCGATTGCAATGGGCTAACTAACGTACGATGAGACTGGACGAACAACCGTGATAAAAACAGTTATTTATGACTACTCTTGATGTGGATTTTATATTTGACTTGGGCGGATTGTAATTTCATGGAAATCGTATATGGTTGAATCTTGAATACGATTTGAAACATTTGTTGAATTTACCAACATGTTATAAAATATGCCTCTTCTATTATATGAAGCAAAATTTGCGTTTTTTATAGCAGCTGTTCCATGCATACCGGGGTCATTTTGATTTTGCCGCAAGTTTCACATTCTATCCTGAAAATATTTCCCCGAAGCAAAAAACACAGGTTCACTGACTGTACAGAACTTAAATATTCACATGCCTATATCATTTACGATAAAAGTTATGCTTTATTTACTATTTATATGTGAAAAAATATAAGATAAACAGTTGCAACACCTTTAGTTTACTCTGCTGTAGGTTTAGATTATTAGATATATGTTTTACTGTTTTGGAAATGAATGCAATGAAATGAGGAGTAAAGCACTTACTTAATGTCAAGTCCGAGTAAAGAGTACATTTTCCTTTGACGTTACCCAAAAACCTTCATCAAAGGGCATACAGTTTCATGTGTCATATGAAAGACAGACAATGTGGTAATTATTTTATTCCGTTAACTTTTCAGTTCGTCTAAGTCTAATTTATCGTATGGTTATTATATGAAATGCAACATTTATGGGAGAATTCCAAAACAACAATATACGAATCACAATAAGCTGCCTATGTCTAATTGAACATTCAATGTCTGATCTTGTAAGGATCATGTCATGTAAATAAATGTTACACTAAGTTTTACATCAAAGAGATTTTTGTGCATTTTATTCATATACAGATTTATTGAGATTAACGTAAGTAATTACATTTTTTTGTTCTAGTATTAATTGCAAATGGCTGCATAATACCTTCAACATTGGTTCATACAATATTGACAATGTCGTGTGTGCTAAATCTAAATAAGCAAATATACTGAAATCGTATCATAAACTCTTGCACATTTTATTTGAATTTAGAATCATGGTGTTTAGTTGGATGGGCAACCCAATAGGAGACAAGCAGCAACGGCCCAAAGAACAATGGGTGAATGTATACACTAACTTCATGTACGGAATATCATTTGGTTCAGACTTAACAGAAAATTGAAGAAGAAAAACGAAATGTACTTATGCATGAATATTATTATCAAATATATATAGTCTATAGAAATATTATGAATAAGTGGGTCTTTGTCAAATGTAGTAGCGTAATTCTGGTCCTCACATTCAATTTTCTGATAACAGATTTTTGTAATTTAACAGGTGTTCATTTGAATTTAATGTCTGATATTAAAAACCTAAGACGACACAAAAACCGTTATAGTACAATTTAGGATACAGGCTTCGTCGGTCGTCATAATTCATTTTTTCAGAGCATTTGTGTTGTTTATTTTTTTCTTTATTTTTTTTTCATTCAAATAATGCAAAGCCTCATTTTATCAAATCTATAAATGTATTGCTTTTTAAAAAAATATCTACTACATGAGCATATTGTAGAATAAATACAACAGCATGACTCTCTTGTATCAAAGAAATAATACCGTAGTATTATAAAAAAGTAAGAAATAATTAATGCATTGAACATATGCTTTGTGATTCTTGGC